TCCGCCAACCACCCACTGTCTGTCTGCCTGTCTGTCTGTCCGTACATCCGCCTGTCTGCCTGTCTGTCTGTACATCCGCCTGTCTGCCTGTCTGTCTGTCCGTACATCCACCTGTCTGTCTGTCTGTCTGTCCGTCTATCCGTCAGGACTCACCAAAAGTTTTCCGTGAGCCGACAAAGTTGCGAAAGAAGGGTGAGTCTGTGAAGAGACACTGGAACACCGTGTCTATGTTGATGTTGAACACTTCGTCCAGGTACATCTTTTCCAGGTGGTCACGGCCCGCACACAAATACTCACCTGTAACATACATACAGTGAATGATTATAGGGCGACACACACACACACATACATACTTATAGTTTTAGTAAGAGTTTTACGGCACTTGCAACACAATAAGGTCATATAAGCGCCGAAGATTAGAGGTGTTGCAAGAGAGTAACAAACACAAAAAAGAAGGAGGAGAGATAAGAACGATAGATGTTTGATAGGAAAGAAGGAGCAAACCACACCACAACACCCGCCAACCACGCACAACAGTTTCGTTTCTTTGTGTCGAAATAAGGGCAGATTGGATCTGAAATGACACGATAATTTTAAAAGATACTTATATATAATAGACAGCTTAATTTGTATAGCGCAAATCCCCGCTCAACAGCAAGCTCTGTGCGCTTCACAATCGATGCTACTATCCCAGCAGACCTGAGAGCATTCTGAAACAACCTCAACTTCCTGGGAAGCATACAGTGCAAGCTGCTATTTTACAGATGCTAAAACATTAACATACTGACAAGATCTTTGGCTGTCTCTGGCTGGGTACCCATGTTCACCAGGGTGGAGAGAGGACAATTCGCATACAGCAGTAAGAAGGAGCCAAGGAGTAGCAGTAGAAAGACTGCAGAAAGAGTCAGGAGCCCAGAGGAGGGGGCAAAGGAGGTGAAAGGGTGGTGGCAGAAAGAGGAGACGAAAGCAGACAACAGAACATTGCTAGGCAGCAGGAAAGAAGATGAAAGGAGACAATTTTAGGGAAGACATTTTTTCCGTCGCTACAAAAATTCGAACTCAGGACCTTTGAATGAGAGGCGAACACCTTAACCTCTAGGCCACGACAGCCCCCCAAAACCCATTTTATTCATGAAACTAACAAGACCAACTTGCTGAAACAAAAGTCGCGAATGCCGTAAAAGCCTTACTAAAACTAAAACCAAGCACCGAGGTCGGTACGAGAGCGGCCACACGTCGTTCCTACCATCAGAGTCGTCCGTCGAGTCGATGAACTCCGGCACCAGATCGTTGGCGTCCGCTGCCGTGCCTCCATTGGCCCGCTGCCCGGTTAAGGCGTCGGGCGGCGTCATGACAGAGTTGACCGGCTGGTTGAAGACTTCGTCGGAGACCAGGGCGTCCGTGTCCTCGTTGTCGGCCGTGTGGCTGGGGGGGTCGGCTGTCGTCATGGCGGCCTCGGAGTCGGTGTGCTGTTCCTGGATGAGCAGACGGATAGACAAAAGAAATGTCCCTGGGTTTTTAACGCTCATATCAACACAATTTAGGTCATCTGTGAGTTGCTCTTGGACAGACAGACAGACCGACAGATAAAAAGAAGAAATGTCGCTGGTTTTTTAACGCTCATATCCACACAATTTAGGTCATTTGTGTCCTATTCCTGGATAAACAGATGAACAGACAGACAGACAGAAATGTCAGGTGTTTGTTTTCACACCCCCATCAACACAATTTAGGCCATTTGTGAGTTGTTCCTGGACAAGTAGACTGATAGAAAGACAAAAGAAATGTCGCTGGGTATTTGGGAATTTTTTACGCCCCCATCAACACAATTAGTCGCTTTTAAGGACAAGCGGGCCAACCCAGATTTCGGGGGTTTCCAGAAATCTTGACCCACACCAAAAGTGGGCATTGCCCTACCTATAGGAGAAGTTTGGTTTCAGTAAATAAATTATTGATGATGGTCAACACAATTAAGATCATAATTTGTCTGCTGTTCCTGGACAAACAGAGAGATAGACAGAAGAAATGTCGCTGGGTTGTTGTTTTTATGCTCCCATCAACACAATTTAGGTCATTTGCTCGTTTTTAAGCACAATAATAATAATAATGTAGATCATTTCTATAGCGCCCACTCCCGTGTGAACACAGCTCTAGGCGCTTTACATAAATGCATGTACGAACAATATTCACACACTTGCGCGCGTACACATACACACACACACACACACTCAAGCACAAATTACACGCACACATGTGCACACACACGTGCACACACACATGCATGCCAAAGACACGCACGCACACAACACACACACACAAGGGGGTTATCCCGAAAAATGCTGTTTTGAGAAAATCGAAGGTAAAGTTTTTGCCCCTTGTTCAGTTTCTTAAAAAGACAAGGGAGAGTTTTCTCTATAACCAAACAAATATACACACCAATGAAACCAAGCTTCTCCTATAGGTAGGGCAATGCCCACTTTTGGAGTAGGTCAAGATTTCTGGAAACCCCCGAAATCTGGGTTAGCGCTCTTGTCCTTACAAGAGACCATTTGCGAGGCAGCATGGCAAAATCAGACGCTCGTCAAAATAATGAAATCAAAGAAATCGTCATTCTTTTTTTTTTGGCTGATAGCGATAGGCATATATTTTTAACTTTCTTTTTTTGGCTCAACACCTTTTACACCTAGCAGACAGACAGACAGACGGATGGACAGACAGACAGACAGACAGACAGACAGACAGACAGACAGACAGACAGACAGAC